TAGGCTATTATTTATGTCTATACACAATGCGCATATACATAAATCCGTGGAGGATATTCGGAGCTTTAAAGCTCTGTACAGGCCAAACTATCCATTTTTGAGCTTTGTGGCCATTGAGACAATTGACCAGTATGATGAACTCTATCACATATAAAAAATTCAGCGAATTTGACTGGGACCCAATTTCCATAAGATTTGTGCGGGGCCCTTTAAGCTAGTAGTATTTCAAGATAGAGACGAACTGAAGTCTCTGTTTTATTTTATATTTCAGTTTTGTTTCATATAATTTATTATACTTATACTGATTATGTCTTCGGTCAAAAATTGTATGTAATATAAAAAAATGCAGAGGAGCATTTGATCAAACTTTGACATTATTTTATTAATATTTTTAACTACGTTTACAAATTTTTTCTGTTGTCCACCGAAAGTCATCCGAGTTGGTTTTTACGGGAAATGTGGAGGTAACAATTTTGATCTGAAAGCAAAATGGTTGTTTTCCTGCATTATTAACATGTTTTCTACTAATCTGAACCTCATTGCGGGTAAGAAATTGTGAAAATTAGTTTTGACAGGTGTTTGAAAAAAAGTATCGATCTTCGCTATTTTTTTTTTCACTCTGATTAAATAAACACCCTTAAAATTATATCATCCCGATTATTGGTTCATATTCTTACATTCAATTTTTATAATGAGCCATCATAACTTTTTGAGCTAGAGTTCCCGTCAATAAAAAAAATATCGTTTCAAGAAAAACACTTGATAATTTCTGAAAATTAGAAATTTGAGAAAATTATCAATAATATAGGGTGCATATCGATCAATCAGTGATTTCCGCACCATATAACAATCCTTCTTCCTCATGGGTCTCATTTTGAGCTTGCATCTGTTCTTTTATTGCTTAATAAGTGACTATCTGAACAAATGCTCTGCCCTACCTGCTGTGCGCCTGAGACCCGATGGACGGTCGGTTTTATAGTAGGTTCATAAAATTAGAATAGGAATTTCATTTTGAAATTTTTGCAGTATATTCTTGAATAGTTATACTAACAATTTATGAAATAAAAAAAACTCTGATGTTTTGAATCTCCTAATGTGGTTTCCCCCTTAAATATTTATGACCAGTTATTCTAATAAATTCACATTTTATGGATTATTAAAATGCAAAAACAGACAACAAACCGATCGTGAGCTATCAGCGTTCTTCTTCAATTATGAGATTGACTTTCTGGGAAATGAAAGATTTTTAGCAACTGGTTATATGAACCTTTTTTATAAAGATATAAATCAAATACAGAGCCATTATAAATGATTACAAGTCATGTGACCAATATTTTTGTTTCAAACAGTCATTTTATTTCCTTCATGCTGGCAATTCAATTTCGGTAGCATTCATGGTATTGATATGAAAAGTCAAGCAACGCTGATCACAGTTAATAATTAGATCGGTGACCATCCGGGAAAGGCTCGCGATGCTCATTCACCTTCTAATGGCCTGTATTTCGGTGTATTCTATACAAATTTAAGCGAGGTTTGTATAGGAAGATATACCATTCCTCGTAAAGGATGTAAAACCGTTGGTCCCTTGTCTAAACAATGTTAGGCAACTAAAAGATCCCTACCCTACGACAAAGTAGGGGTTCAGCAAAATTTCCAGATTGGGGGTTGCTCGTCTCCTGGCATCGATGTTTAGCTATAGTAGCCGAAATAGGCCAACATAAAAAAAAACCAAAAAACAAAAGCAAAAAAAAATTCTGTAAAATTAAAAATTATTAAAATAAGATCAAGAAAACAACATTCTGTTTCATGTGCTGGTGATTGGTGTAATTTTTCATGTGATTCTATTCAATCAATTAGCGGTCGCATTATCTCAAGCTTAGATGTAACGGTATGTCATTGTTCATTGTAAATGGATCTTTAATATTGGTGACACTAAAATTTACGGATTTTTATTTGATTGTAGCAGGCTTGCAGTGTTGATTGCCTAAGTTCCGTGGTCACATGGCTTATAATCATTTATGAAGGCTTTGTATCTTTTTGTTGTATACGAGATAATTCAGAAACAGAAACTGGAAGGAAGATCATATTTACCTAATCACTTCAGTCCTAGATAGTCGATTAATCTTCATTGAAAGAACGAAATCTTTCATTTCCAGACATACAGTCAATTTGGTGTCTTCTATTTTTTTCCACATCTAACAATTTTAGTTATTGACGAAGTATTTTTTTGTGCAAAATCAACAATCATTCAGAAATTCTGTACTTTTAGTTAAAACATTAGACAAAGGGTAATTTTTTTTTGTTTCGCACGCCTTTATGATGTGTACCAATTTTGAATAATATAACTTATATTGATTATCAGATTTTGATTAAAAATTATCAAAAGTAAGACAACACCTTAGTAGCTGTTAAAAGCATTATTGGACTAAGCTAAGCTGACTTAAATTCAATTGTTTTACCTTGGAAACAAACCTGTGGCTGCTGTATTTTAAGATACCTTGTAGATTGAACTTGTTTATAAGTGTGCATCAAACAAGTAGATGTATATTTATTATTTGATAAACATGTATTTACATTTTAGGGGATTCTGGGCGGAGCTTTATGTTCGTTCTCGCGAGACAACGGGCCTATTCCAATAAATAAACAACTGTGGTCACTCTCATTTGTTCTTGTGACAGCAGGAATGGCTTTCATTATACAGGCATTTTTGTTTCTGATAGTTGACATTTTACGGAAGTGGGGTGGTAGACCTTTCTTTTATCCAGGAATGAATTCAATTTTTTTGTACGTTGGTCATGAATTAATGAAGAACACATTTCCGTTTGCTTGGAAGCCTACTGCAGAAACTCATGCCACATATTTGTTTATGAATCTTTGGGGTACCTTCTTGTGGGTGTCCATCTCTATATTTTTGTATAAACGAAATCTATTTTTAACTATTTAAATCTTATTTTGAGTGTTTTGTTATATCTTATAGGAAATTATATATGTTTCTTTGAGTAAATCTCATTGACTGATTCTCATTCTGATAACATAAAGTATATTAGAAAATTGTGATAGTATAATTATTATTTGTTAATAGTAATTTTAACTATTGAGTTATGAAATGTATATTTCTAAATAAATTAATAATAATAATATTTCTATATCTATGCTTATATTAACAACTAAGATTTTTTTTTTAATAATGAATAAAGCGTTGCTTGGTTTTGATATTTATTCAATTAAAAAAAAACACTTGATACTGTTTAGTGAGTTCCAGGATATCAAGGTGGAGCAAATCCTCACACAAAAATCCTTATCCTTTTGATTCTATCAAATGCGTAATATTTTCAACATACCTTCTTATTAGCAGAATTTGATACGATTTGGAAAAAATTGCTTTCAAAAAGGGATTGGAAGAGGTAACAAAGACTAATTTATCTGTGCAAAGGGTGCAGTTGTATGGCTGATTTAGTAGGGGAAATTATTATTTTAAAATAGAATAGTAGTAGTATAATTTAATTGCACAACTGAGCTGTTCAATTACAGGATAGAATAGTGGGTGACGGGTGCGAGAATTGTAAGTGTGTAGTAATCAATTAGATTAATTGAAACTGATTTTGTTTTGCAATTTACAAACATTAGTTGTTTGTAAAGAAAGAACCGAAGACAATTTCTTCCTATGGACCATGCCTTAATAAATGACAGTTGTTGAAAGCTCTAGAGATATACTATTTTTAAGAAAAATGCAATTGTTATTGCCAAGAAAATTTCATCCTTAAATATTACATTTTTTTATCAAATATATTTTGTCAGCGTCGATGCTTTCATTCACTGAATGTAAAATTACTAGTGATGTGAGTGAAAATATATAACAAATTGATATATATCAGTTTTTGATACATATCAGCTATTATATTTATGTTAATAGCTGATATATATCAATTTTCCCGCCATTTCATGAATAAAGCCAAATTTCAAACATAACCTTACATTTTAAAACTAAAAACTTGTGGTGTGGTAGGCTTGAGTTGGACTGTAGTAGCTCTTGGGTACCTGGAATATCTCCGTCAAAAATGAATATAAAAATCTGAAATTTTAGGGGTGTACTATAGATGGGAAGAACTAAGAGCGCACGTAATTTCAAGTCACCCCTTCCACCCTAGGGGGTGACGGGTGGTTTTTTTAGATGTACCCTACTCATTTTGCGAGTTTCGGATTCTATGCGTAAAACTACCCCCGAAAGCGCGTTCTTGCCGAATTCGCACAAAAACCAAACCACCACCCTCGTATGGATTTTGTCGTTTTTTCGATGAGCATTTTTCTCCTTCAAAAATAAATATAGAAATCTGAAATTTTAGGGGTGTACTATAAGTGGGGAGACCTAAGAGCGAACCTGATTTCAACTGGCCCTTTCCACCTTAGTAGGTGCAGAGGGGGTGAGGGGTGGTCTTTTAGACGTACCCCCAAGAACGCGTTTCTGGGGGTAGTTTTACGCGTACAATCCGAAAATCGCAAAATAAATAGGGTACGTCTAAAAAAAAACCTTCACCCCACCCCCTAGGGTGGAAGGGGTGAGTTGAAATTACGTGCGCTCTTAGTTCTCCCCATTTATAGTACACCCCTAAATTTTCAGATTTTTAAGTACTACTTTAAAGCAGTTTCTTTATTATCATAAGTTTTTGATAATTTTTATTTCAATTTTTATCTTTAATTTTTTTTAAGTACGTATTGTGACATACAAAGACTAAATTTTCTTGTTCTAGAAATTTCCCATTTTTTATTTCTGGGTTGATAAAACTAAATTGCTAATAAACAGCGTACTTGCTTATAAACAGTCAGTAGCACGCAACAAAAATTAGAAGTCAGTATGATAAAAAAAATATAAAATTCCAATCTAAATATGAAAAAAAAATAAAGATCACTTGATAACTTTTCTTAAAGTTCATATATATGACATGTATTTGGTGTCAAATTAATCAGCAAGGCATTAGCAATATAAAAAAACTAATTTGAATATAGTTTTTTTTTAACAAAATTCATCTGATATATATAATGATATATATTTTGATATATATCACCCAAAACTAAATAGCATGCTATTTTACATCACTAAAAATTACTATTTACAACTTCCTAAAAAAAATGCAGTTTGACAGGAGTTCGTTCTTTCATATTATTGACAAAAATAAATTCGCGTTTTTCTCTTAAAAAACCTCAAATGAAAAACTTCTCTACTACTAAAGAACACGTTTTTCAAACACCCGGTGGTATGCATTTTTTTTAAATTATGTAAACCCCCATTTGCCACAGCGACACCCCGATGCAATGAAATTTGAACTTCAGTAAAAAAAAGCTTCAATTAATATACAGTGTGTTCACATGGAGAAAAAGGAAAAACTTTTATATTTCTCATTTACAAATAAAATGTTGTTCCTGTCCAAATGAACAAAAAAAGTAGTTTAAAATGAGTCACTGTATACAGGAGGTCCCTTATTAAGAAATTATTTAAAATGATTGAATGATCATAGAACTTAATGGTACCACATCAGTTAACAAACATAAATCATCCATTTCCAATATTTAAAACGCACAGGGTATCCTCAGATCCTCTTAACCATTGTCAATAACAAAAAAAATTCTAGCCAAAAATTTTCCATATTGCGGAATAAATCTGGTTCTGAAATAATCTAGCTCATCTCTGAAAAATTAAGTAGACTGTCATGAACAAAATAATTATTTTCTGTGTAGGGAGTGTTTTTTTCATTATGAAGACTTGAAATTTATTTTAATATTCCAAATTTGGAAGCAATTAACCTACTTTCATTTTTTCAAGTTCTCCATCCTCCAGTAAAGTGCTCTTTTTGTGCAAGATATTGGGAAAAAAACTTATACAAGTTATTTAGAAATTTGCACTAAGAAATTGTTATTAATCTCTTTCACTTAATAAATCCTTGTTTGAATGTTCTGTTAAATAATAAATATTACTTTTAGTACTTGTCCGTCTTTAACACTACAGAACAAAATATTTGTTAATCAAGATTAGTGAATTTGTTATACTGGTAATAACTGCCAAAAATATATGTTTCTTACACACTGTTCTTTGCATTGTAGTCCCAGATTGGCACATATGTACTTATATTGATTTTGATTTTTCAAATCTACAAATTTATAGGTATCCAAATTAAAGTATATCTGATTATCAAGGTCGCACTGTACTTACCAGGGAAATTCACTACACTAAAAATATACTATTGTTAATAGTTCTAGCAATTATTTATTAATAGCTGTGCTTAGACAAATGTATAAAAATGGCTGATATATATTAAATCCCTATTATACATGTTTTACTAAATTAAATAATAAAATTTATATATAGAAGGCACTTAGATACAGTAACAACATTTGATAAATATATGAGATAAAACAAAAATACATAACAGAATTAAGTAACTTGCAAGTTGATGAAAACGTGAAGGAGACCACAGTACGGTAAAACGCAATTCATTTTTTTCTGCAAAAAAAAAGATATGTATATCTATACAGGATGTCTTAAATTGTATAGGTAATTAAATCTGACCAAAAATAAGAGTCCATAGAGAGAAATAAGTATCAACCATACTATAATCAAAGAAAGTTAAATTGTGCATGCGAACATGGCAAAAAAATATTGATAGTTCGATAGTTCTCTTCTAATCTATTCCTAGAACGAGCCTTTTCAGTGTAAAAATGTTGTTTATTTTAAAATGAGATCAACTCATGGCTCAATTAATCAAAAGTGAAAATAATCCAAGATGTTTTTTGGTAAAAATGCATTTTTATATAGGTACAGAGTGACCCATTTGAAAGCGGGCCACCCTCATAACATTTTTATTTATGAAGCGATTTTGACGAAATTTTTTTTGAAATGTAGAAGGAGAAAAGGTGTATTTTGGGGCCAAGCGGCGTCCAGTATTTTTTTAAATCAAGGCCTACTAGATCATATTCATAGGCTGAAAAATCCAGAATCCATATTAGCGATTTTTTTAGAAAAAATCTGCGTACGCCACTGGATTCGGCGTCCCCTGAAATGGATCTGTACCAAATTTCATGAAAAAATATTCAACATTAACGATTCTATGGCTAAATTGCTGTCAAATTGTTTATTATGCATTAAGAAGCTTTTTATCTAGTAACCCACGCGATAACAAATCAATCACAACAAATATTTAATAACACATTTAATAGACATCCTTATATCAAAATACAATGAAACAAACAGAAAAACAAATGAGACATTAACATAAAATTTACAAAAAACGCAGTAAAATAAAATTAAATTAACACACATGAATTAACTTTAAATTCTAGATTTTTCAACTAAATCTCCATTTAATTGAATGCATTTATTGTATCGTCTTTGAATGTGTGCTATAACATTAGACAACTGATGTGTTGTAATTCGTTGGACGAGTGTAGTAAACTTTTTCTTTAATGAACCCCCAAAGAAAAAAATCTAGGGGAGTTAAGTCGGGAGCCCTGGGAGGAAACTGGTGTTGTGGATAAGACAGCCATCTAATTGAAACAGTAGACCAGCCACTTCTGCAAGTGGAAGTTAATCAATAGCATCCGAGAATTCATTTTAAAAAAATGTAAAAAACTTTGGCTATTGCCTTCAGAAAAGAAGGGGCCAATTATTCTGGTATTTAATATACCGCACCATACGTTTACCTTCTATGAATACTGTCGCCTATAGTTTATTACCCATTCGGATTTTCTTATGCCTGATGCCTCGTGTTATGTGAATTTACTGTCCCATTGGTTGTAAATATTGCCTCGTCAGTAAACAATTTTTTTTTAGAAAATGTCTGTAATTGGGGTATTCTCCTTGGCACTATAAGCAATATTTCATTCGTTCGTCTTCTAAGGTGTCGCTTTAAAAGGCTTCATATTATTGTATTTTTTAAGTTTTTTCCTTATGGTGTCCCGTGGTAATTGTAGGTCCAAACTAGCAATTCTTAAACTTTTTTCGGATTTTCGGTGAAATAATTTTGAATTTGTTCATTGCTTCTTCTTGGCTGTTGTACATTAATATTTTTTTAAATGTGTAGATACAGCTCCGTATTCATTAAACATATTGCTCACTCGCCCAATGGTAGACTTGCTAATATTTTGAATTTCTGATGTCTATCACTAAAAATTAGAGGTACTTCCCTTTCGGATCTGTCTCTGTCATCACAAAGTTTTACTATTTCAATCTTATGTTGTAACGTTAAATTACAGAGTCATACTTTTTGACAGTGCACTTAAGGAACAATACGTAAATTTCACTATTGAGCTAATAAATTTGACATATTCGTCTTTTGTTCAGTCATCTGCGACTTAAGTAATTGCAAAGCCTGCTATTAAGAATATTGTTCATCACTATGGAGCTGTATTATTAAAGCATGTTTAAATAAAACAAAGATTGCCACTATTATGAATAACTGTGGGATCGACATTATTTATTAAATTTTTTTAGTGACGAGGCAACATTTACAAAAATATTCGTTCAATTAAATGGAGATTTAGTTGAAAAATCCAAAATTTAAAGTTATTTTTTGTATATTTTATGTTAATTTCTCGTTTATTTTTTTGTTTGTTTTATTATATTTTGATATAGGGATGTCTATTAAATATTGTTATTAAACATTTGTTGTGATTGATTTGTTATCGCATGGGTTACTAGATAAAACGCTTCTTAATGCATAATAAACACCTTAACAGCAATTTAGCCGTAGAATCGTTAATCTTGAATATTTTTTCATAAAATTTGGTACAGATCCATTTCAGGGGACGCCGAATCCTGTGGCATACGCAGATTTTTTCTAAAAAAATCGCTAATATGGATTCTGGATTTTTCAGCCTCTGAATATGATCTAGTAGGCCTTGGTTTTGGACGCCACTTGGCCCCAAAATACACCTTTTCCCCCTTCACATTTCAAAAAAAATTTCGTCAAAATCGCTCCATAAATAAAAATGTTATGAGGGTGGCCCGCTTTCAAATGGGTCACTCTGTATGTAATAAGTTAAATACAAATTATTTTTTTTTAAAAAATTTAAATTTCTACATTAACAATTTTTTAACTTTTGACACATTATGTATATCATGAATAATTTTAGGGTTATTTATTTATTCTGATTGGTATGGTAAGATCATTTTCAAATCATAAAAAAAAGATAAGGGATATTAATGAGGACAGATAAGGAAAATATGATCAATAGAATAGTTTACAAATAGTTGGACAAACTGTAAATTTAGAGAGGATGTCCCTGATGTTTGAAATTAAATATTTTCTTTCGAAAATGCTTTACAGTTTAACAAAACTTAAATTATATTAATACCATGGTTTAAAATTTTTATTTCTAATTAGATAAATCAGTGGTTAAAGTCCTTCAAATAATTTTATAATTTGAGCACCCTGTATCTCAAAAATGAAGCGCTGCACAACTCAGGTTCTTAAGAAATCTGCATAAAATAATTTGTTCAACTTATCATTTGCTGAAATTTTCAAATTAAAACAGACTAACATAAATTTTATTGCTGCATAATATAGTCATATTTTGAATAATATAGTTCACAATACCTGATCTCTAGCATGCTTATATATTATACTCGGCATCTACTATTTGTATACTGAACACGTAATAGTATATTACGTAATAAGTGTTGTAAAAAGCATTTTACGCACAAATGAAAAAGTTACGCATGACGCCGCGTAGCGGCGAGTGCGTAATTGCATTACACCACGTATTACGTACTATACTTTACCTACGACCACTACTGTAAATACTTAAAAACATACTGTCTGCGAACAATGTAAGATTCCTATTTTACGTACGGTAAAAAAATCGCACAGCTTGGTAAAAAAATCGTACGGTTTTCCTAGCAGCTTGACCGTTGCTAGGCGGTTGCTAGGAAAACTGTGCGATTTTTTTACCGTAGGTAATAGGAATCTTACATTGATCGCAGACGGTGTGTTTTTAAGTATTTACAGTAGTGGTCATAGGTAAAATTAATAATACTGAATCAGTCAGAATTTTAGTGTATACCTACTGTGGAACTGTATAATTATAACATCTAATAACATGCTATTACATATACCTACTCAACTATTATTTACGTACCTATCACTGCATAACCAAATCCAATTTTTGTCGTACCCATGCGATACGAACAAGTCGGAATTAAAATTTCATACATATCTGTTGTACCTAATGAATATTCAAATATTTGATTATTGTCTTGTGTAATTGGTACAATTTGAAATTCACGTCTAAGTAAAGCATCCGTAGTGATTATCATAGATTTATGTTCATGGGCGGTAAATAGTACATGAGGCAACATTTTACTTATAACCTAAAAAAGTACTATTATCAAATTTAAAAATAATAGAACCCTACATTAAATAGTAATTAAAAAGTGCTATATTGAATTAAACGAAAGAAAAAAAACATTTAAATAATATTACAATATTGTTTTCTAGTATTATATGCGAATCTCCGATAAATTTTAAATCAATCTCCCTTTTACCTTATCTACAAATATGGAGGGTTTAAATAGCAGAGGCACGTGACTCAATCCAACAAATATTTGGCTGGTATCATAAAACTCTCTAGCATTATTATAAGCTGGAATGGTTGAGGTCAACCTATTAATTTTAAAGTAAGTAACATTGTTCAAGGATATGATGTCTGGTTGAGAAAAAGCTCTTTCAAATCTCTTTAATTTACTCGGTGTTACCCAAGTATCTTCACCACCAATATCATTATCACCAGGCAACCATATATGCTAAAAAAGAATAATTACAAAAATTTACACACAAAAAAAACATTTTCACATACTCCGACATATTTTGAACTTTTTTCATTCTTTAAAAATATATTGAAAATCCTGCCGACGTACTCATAAAATTCTTGATCAGTGGCTATGTGAGCTTCATCCATCAAGTCTCCCAAAAAAATAACTATGTCAGGTTCAACAAAATCGAATGCATAGAAGTATGTCTTTTTCACATATCTACAACAGTTAATAACTGTTTAAAGTTGTATTTAAAATACTTCTTCCTTACCTATCACTATCAAATATATTAATAGGTGTAAGAAAATGAATTACTTCTTTTGTATTACCAATTATTTGTGGATCTGCCACCAACAATATTTTTGAGCAATCCTTGGGATTTTTGCATTTTAAATGGTACCAGTTGCCAGTATTAAAGTAATAAGAAAGTACTTCATTGTAAAGGATAAATATCAAAGTGAAAATTATCCAAAAATAGGTATAGTTCCTGGATTTAAATAAACGTCTAAAATTTATTTCAAATAAACCAAATATTATTGACTTTAAAATACCTACCTGAAGTTTCTCATAATTTCGTCTAATATATGTGGCTGCTATATCCTTTTTCTCCATGTTTTTATAAATAGATATTAATTTCCCTAATTAATGGAAATTAATAATTACTTTTAATATTTTCCTAAACATCGTTTTGACTTTGACAGTAGTATCACAGAACCATAGAAACAGAACACCCAGAACAGAGACAAATTTGTCTGTAATCTGAGGGCTTTTCGATTTGGCAAAAACAGCTAATAGTAACAGAGTTACTCTGAACTAATATTAGTTGCTAATAGCATTGTAACGAACGTTCAAATAAAACGTGGTCAAGTTGGTTCTGAAAATTTGGACGTAGGGCGTAGCGTATAGCAAATGAACTTAAACGTCATCTGTCAAAGCGCCATATCGCCGCTATCAATTTGAATATTTTCGTTTTAAAAAGCGTTTAAAATGGTGTTTTCTCAAGAACAAAAAGTGTTTATCATAGAGTCCTACTTTAGAAATGGACGCAAGATTGATGGAATATGGAAGTATTCTATTGAGGAATGTTTCATAGAATTTCAAAATCAATTTCCCGGCGTTGTTGAGTACAAAATTTTTCAAAGTGCAGTTCAGCGTTGTGTTAATGTTTTTCGTGAAACGGGCAGTGTAACAAGAAAAGAAGGAAGCGGCCGACCTAAAAAGCGGACTGAAGAATTAAAAGAAAATGTCCAACAAATAATGGAAAATGCGCCAAGAACTTCTGTACGTGTTTTATCACAAATGGTGGGAGTATCAGTCGGTACCTGCCACACAGTGTTAAAAAAAGATTTGCGTTTGTTCTCCTATCGTTTAACTTGTCAGCAAGAACTTCATGAAGTTGATTTTCCGCGACGGGCTGTATTTTGTGAATGGTTTTTAAACAACTACGGTGAACTTCATAATATCACCTTTTTTTCTGATGAAGCCTGGTTTCATTTAAGTGGTTACGTAAACTCACAGAATATGAGAATGTGGTCTTCTGAAAAACCAGATAACTTTTTTGTCGAGGGCCCTCTACACGCTCAAAAAATTGGAGTTTGGTGTGCTCTCAATCGAAGGAGGATTTATGGACCTATTTTTTTTAATGGTACTCTTACTGCGCAAAGGTATAGAGAAGAAATTATCGCTCCTTTTGTTAACCAGCTGGAAGAAAACGAAATTACAAACTTTTACTTTCAACAAGATGGCGCAAGGGCACATACGGCAGGCGAGACGATGAATATGTTGAGGGAAGTTTTCCAAAATCGACTAATAAGTCTCAATGCTGAACATGAATTTCCACCGAGGTCATGTGATATTACGCCGTGTGATTTCTTTTTGTGGCCTTACCTTAAAAACACTATTTTTGAACTGCCTATTCCTGATTTAAACCATCTGCAGGCTCGACTTATAGACAAGATTCGTGAAATTAACAATACCCCGAGCATCTTAGAAAATGTCTTTAATTCTTTGAGGAACAGGTGTGAAAAGTGCTTGGAACAAGGAGGGGGACACTTTCAGCAGCTGCTTTAATTTATTGTTATAACAAGGAGGGGGACACTTTCCGCAGCTCCTTTAATTGTTTGTTATTTACTCGATTACCGATAACTCGATTATGCCCATCACTAGACTCATTAGCGTTATTGAAACTGACAGCTGACAGCTCGTTGAGAAATGAGGTTAAGTTGGTCGCTATAGGCTACTCCCTACGTCCAATGTGTCAGAGCCAACTTCGACCACGTTTTTATTTGAACGCTCATAAGTATTTACTTATACAATGCTAATAGGTACTATTTTTGTTATTGCCAAAACGAACCTCCCCCCCTAGCAGGCGTAGATACCATAAAACCGCATATCATAGTGTGTATCATGGATTTGTAGATAACTCTCTACTTCCCACACCGTGTTACAGCAGCACCTTTTTTGGCGCGTACCCATACTAATGAACTTGTACATTTTTTTTATTCATTTGTTTTTAGTTCGTACTTTATCAAGTTCTATAGCAAGCTGCTCATGCTCGCTTTATAAATGCCGTTTGGGTTTTTTCAGAACCACATCTAATAAGGATAAATCCTATGTTTTCGTTTATTTCAGAATTAGTTTGTAACAGTTCTTGCATGAAAGCAGCTTAGTTCCGAGTTCAGAATTCTTTATATTTGCACATGCGCTTTTAGAATTCGTCCCGACAAAAGTAGCAGTAAATTTGGAGTTATAATTTCATAATATCAATATGGAAAATGTTTTAAATATAAAAAATCGAAAAAAATAGTATAATTTTACATCCGTCCAAAAATTATTTTAAGAATGTAGGAACCTATAGATCAGGATCAGATTACGGTTAATTACCGTTCTAAAAATTGCAGATTGTGAAATAATATATATAATTTTATTTATTTCAATTTTTGAATATAAATTTTATTGGAGAAAAATATAAATTGCTGATGCAAAGGTATAAATTGCACTATTTTTTTTACTTTAAATAAAAATAATAAATGAATAAAATTTACAATACTGAAATAAATTAAAATACAGTGTGAATTGTTACATTTTATGTATATCTCACCGACACTAAAATGCACAAAGTAAACAGTTTTTTTAAAAGGCAATTACTTATTGTTTAACCGTTGAAATGACTAAAAAATATTCCAAATCTATCAGATTAGTAAGAAAGTAGATTTATTTTTTATTATATACATTTTATAAAACAACAGAAATTATTGTTATAAAACAATTCATCATTCATTCCTTTAAGTTTATCCACCTATTTAGTTAACATTTAATAAAAAAAATTTAATTTTTTAAACACTAATTTTTTTAATATTTGGCGCTTCACATGCATTGACAAGAAAAATAGTGATTTTAAAGTAACATGAGTATCATGTTGCAATCATACAAAAGTAATTTGTTCTTACAGAATTATTTTCCATTGCAGTTTCGCTCTATACCACTCCATTATTAGTAGTAGTTAGTTTAAAAAGATAACAACAGGAAACACTGATAAGCACACATACAACAACCGAGTTCGTGAGCTGCCCCATTAGCAGCATATACGAGAGCTTAAACGTAGTTTAAGAAATAAATTATAATTCGACTTGACCGTTTGATTTAAAAAAACACAATTTCCTATTACTATTCTGAGGAATACACACTATTATCTCTAAAGAACTGGCTCCATCTAAAGTTACACTCTGTATATAAGAATGTTTTTTTTTTCAAAAAACTTCATCAGACTTCATCAAAAGTTCATATTTCTCCATATTTCTTCAATCAAGCATTTCGCAACAAAAAAATTGTATATAGCTTACTGACATTACTGGTACTATATTTTAATTTCCAGTTGATTTAAACTTAGTTAATTTTACCACACGGAAATCTCGTACCATTGACAACTTGTCAGTAGTGGGACTATTAAACTGAATTTACTGAAAATTTCATTAGAGATTCCTAAATAATATAGCCTATAAGACTAATAATTCTAAAAATATTTAATATTCCCAATACTTTAGGTAAAAAAAAACAAATCATTATATAATTTGTATGTATTAAACTTTTCCAGTAAATCTATAAAACCTTTTATAACTTTCATACATATCTTTGAATAACTCTGTTGAAGCACTCGATAAAGCTCTCATCAGAAATGCTATAGCATGTTGATCACAGATACTGAGCAGACTATAAACACAATTGTTTAAATGCATCTGTAACAAAAATAAACTATCATAACATATTATCTAATTGAATATTCAACGAAAAACTTTCAATATATTTGCTAGGTTAATTGGTTCCGGGATGCTAGCAAGCAAAAAATAAAAGCCCTTTTAAATTCATTGAAATATTTCAATATTTATGACAGGCAGCAAATTTAAACTATATTCTACGATTAAAAAAGATATTTTATTTAACATAAAATATGAAGAGATCATGACACGAAGTACAAAATTACATTTAGAAAATGGAAAAAATTCTGCAAGTTTCACATCAGCGGTCGGAGCAAAAGATAGTTCGAATGTATGCTAGAATTAAAAAAAAATGAACTAGAGTTAGCTCTGCATGGGTAATATTCAATCATTTTAAAACAAATTAGCAACTTGCCTTTCTGCTGGTATTATATATTTGGAATGTTTCATGTTAAGCGGATTACCGACCTGGACAAGAATTGCATGGGACGATCGCGATGTGTAAAGGCTCTAAAATGTTCGTCTAGTAAGAGGCTTTTAAACGCAGAGTGGTACTTTTCAAAAATCCAAAATGGTGGACCCAATATGGCAGCCGGAAGCTGGAGAAAACCCGAGTGTATGGCAAAAAAGGGTTGTGAAAAAAAAATTTGTAACCAATCAGGTAATTTTTTGCTCAAATTGTAGCTAAGGGACACCTCTTAATGGCTGGTGCGGTTGGATGAAAAAATCCAAAATGGTGGATCCAACATGGCGGTCAAAAAACTGATATGACTGAATTTTTAAAAATCAACCGATTTACACCAAACTTGGTACACGGGAGTTTTTGAGGTCGCTGATTACGAATCCGAGGTCAGATTTGCAAAATTCAAGATGGCGGATCCATGATGGCGGACAAAATTTTGGAAAATCGAACGATTACCACCAAATTTGGAATATGGGGATTTTTGGGGTCACTCATCATGTATCTTAGGTTGGATTTGCAAAATTTAAGATTGCAGATTCAATATGGCGAAAGATTTTATCCGCCATACTGGATTTGTCATTTTTTAACAACCTCCGAAGACTCCCCATATACCAGATTTGGTGGAAATCGGTTGATTTTCCGAAATTTCGTCCGCCATCATGTACCCGCCATCTTGAATTTTGCAAATCTGACCTCGGCTTCGTAATGAGCGACCTCAAAAAACCCCGTATACCAAGTTTGGCGTAAATCGGTAAATTTTTTAAAATTCAGTTACCAAATCGGTTTTTAGACGGCCGTGTTGGATCCGCCATTTTGGATTTTTTCATCCAACCATACTAGCTTTTAAGAGGTGTCCCTCAGCTACAATTTGAGCTAAAAAATGACCCGATTGGTTGTGAATTTTTTTTTCACAACCCTTTTTTGCCATACACTCAAGTTTTCTTCAGCTTCCGGCCGCCATATTGCGTCGGTCATTTTGGATTTTTGAAAAGTACCATTCTGTATTTGAAAGCCTCTTACTTGACGAACATTTTGAGCCCTTACATGTCTCGATCGTTCCACGCAATTTTTGTCCAGGTCAGTGATGCGCTTGATGTGTTATTTTTATGAGTAGATCGGACAAAACAATGTACAAAACGTTTTGATTTTAAAAAACCATCTTGATTTGATCAATTAACTGTTGTCTTTACTATAATTACACAGTGGACAGTCTTTTTTCTTGACATTCACAAATTAAAATTACAAAATACTTAAAATTTAAATTTACTTACTTTAACATTCGGATGCAAATTAATTTGTTCATAATGTTGTAATATATCAGCAATTAAATATACAGCAATTCTAGCCATATCTTTATGGTTTAACACCAAGCTCTTTGTTAATTTTTCAAGTTGATGGGAATCATCAGAGACCTCTTTGATCGCCGACCCTTCCAAATTTAAATTAGCATTACTTCTTTCACATAAATTTTTCAGTAATATGCGATATATCTGTGAAAAACAAGGCAATCTATCCATTATGAGGGGTTTTCTGTATTTAAGTAGAAACTCCAATTGAGTTATTGATAAACTAAAAATTGATTTATCTCCCCAACGATTGCCATACAATAATGTTATGCTTAATATAAGCATATCCGCCATTGGCCAAGTTAGAGGTAACTAAAATATAATTGAACAATTAAGAAGAAATTAAAAAATAAAATATATACTTACATGAACTGTCTGAATAATAGTTTTTTGCAGATTAAAAATGCATTTGTACAAATTTTCATAGAATAAAGAATTCTGTAGCAAAATGATGGATTTCTGTAATAATTTTTCTAAGATACTTTGAAAATTTTTTATTTTTGTAGGGTTTAAATCACATGACAGTATAGATTCCCAAATTGTTATATTTTTTGCAAATACTTCGTAATCTTTTTTAGCCACAGAATCTTCCTGAAAAAGACATTTGTAAATATTACTAATTAAAAGTTCAAGAATTAAAATATTTAATATTGCCACTAAAGGGCCCAAAATGTACTTCAATCATCCTTGATGACTCAGGGCATTGCGCGTTGTAAAGTTGTTACTGTTATAACACTAAGGTATAAGAATGAAATCCGACATGTTTGCCCGTCCATTTTTACTTATTATTATACAAAACTATATTGATACTATTTTTTAGGAGATCTCAAAAAAGGTTGCACATATATTTGCAATGTATATTTTTTCCAGAGCCTATACAGAGGCTTCATAAATGATAACAAGCCACGTGATCAGTAATTTTATTTGGAACAGTAATTTTATTTCCTTCATGTTTGCAATCAAATTTCGGTAAAATTAAAAATTATTAAACAATATCAAGATTACAATACTGGACTTCAATTCCAAGACCATTCTAAGGAGCTCATGGAGTATTCTTCGAAGGAAAGAGCAAACGATTTACTGAACTTCAATAAAATCCGGCTAAGGAGAATGACGGGACCAATAATGGGACACTGTCACTTTAGGAAACATCTACATAAGCTAAAGCTTTGCACGTAGTAGAATGACGCTCTTGGGAAGACCCTATTTAGGACCCAAGGAACTGAAAGAAGTGTCAGCAAGGAAGGTTTTGGACTTTGTCGAAAGGACAAAACAACTTGCTGAATAGGGCTAGTAGTGGGACGCACAATAGGGCTAATTAGGCCGCAGTGCCATGGGACTTATTAGGACCAACCACTAGAAAAGAAGAAGGAGAAGATTACGTTAAAACACAACATTCTGTTTCACCTCCTGTGAATGATGTTATTTGTCACAAGATTCTGTTCGACCAATTACTAATAGCATTGTCCAGAGCGTAAATGTAACGGTTTGTCATTGTTCATTGTAAACAAATCATTAATATTGGTGACATTCAGGTTTAGGTTGACTATCGGCCATGCAATATCGGTTGCCTAAGCTTAATGGTTATGTGGCTTGGAATCATTATGACGGCTCTGTAGATACAACCAAGTTTATTAATTTTTAATTACAAAATAATTTTTTTCTTCACAGTAATATCTTTTTAAATTTCAATTAGATACGAACATTAGATTATTTAAACTTCAAATGTTGTAACATTAAGAAAAAGGAACACACGTGGAGATACAACATACAGTTGTCTGTGCAGACATACAAAATAAATACTTGAAACAATGGAATCACCGCTATTAACGTGTAGTAAACAAGTGAAATGAAAACTGAGTGAGCCGAGTATGAGTGTTACAAGCCACATGTCCTGAACTCTAGTTCATCACTCATTTAGCTGTAGTATATCGAGTCACTACCTCGATATATCCATTATATCGAGGTCGTCATATCAGAAGGGCGTAAGAACCAAATCTAAAATTTTACAGGCATACGCCTTTCTGATATTATAGTTTTGCAAAATTGGTTCATAAATGCATTAGAATAATGTAAAATGCGTTAGAATAGAGTGTTGATGTTTATGAATATATACGCTCTTCTGATATATTAAGGGCTCACATATACCTGGGTAAATTGGGAAAATCGATTTTTCAAAAAGGTGCTCATTCGAAAGTACTGTCCTTCGAGTGTCTACCCTGAAAATTTCATAAAGAAATTCGCAGTAATGACGAAGTTATAGCGTTTCGTAACTGTCCTGGTAAGCAACGAATAACGGTCGGGCGCAGGTAGACGCGGCCTTTGTCATCTGTTTGGCTATAGTCTACGTCTACACTACACGATTAGGGTGTTCTCGCCCCTGTTGGATTCTACGTATTTATCGTCCTTTATACATATAGCAAGAGCATGTTCTGACAAGTTGGTAGGCCTTAGGTATGCGTACTTTGCGACGCTTACGTTACTGTCCAGTCGTTCGCTGTTTGTCGAGACGAACTGTTGTATTAAAATTGATCGCTGTTAGTGCGGAAGTATTACAAAAATGGAACGACGAAAGGGTTCGCGACAGGATCATCGGTCTGGGAAACTCAGAAAAGATGTGAAAAAGCAGAGGAAGCAACCATTAAATCAACATCAAGCGGAAAAAGAGGAAATGAGTACGAGTATAGCTGCGAAGAAATTGAAAAATAAACACGAGGTGTTTGTTCCTGAAGAGGAAACTATTGGGTACAGAATACTCAATTTTTTCACTGTTTTCAGTGCTATATCTGAATACGTAAAATGTAAACAGTGTAGTGGTGCCGTTAAATTCAAAACCGAAAGTACTCGGGGACTCGGGTTCAAAATTATGATAATATGCTCGTCGTGTGATCCTGTTTTGATTCCGGCTTCTCCGTTGATTGCGAGTGCTTACGAAATCAATAGACGATTCTTCTTTGCTCTAAGACTGTTAGGAATTGGTCTGAATGGTGCTCAAAAATTTTGCGGCATTATGGACTTGCCTCCTCCCGTGGCACAAGCGACGTACGACATAATAGTCCAAAATATTAGTACGGCTTCTTCTGCAGTTTTTGATTTGCTGAGAAAAAAAGCTATCAGTGAAGAGAGAGAAGCCATAAGAGATAATGGCATTGATGACGATAAGCAACTCACAGTATCTGGAGACGGAACGTGGAAGAAACGTGGATTCACGTCTTTATTGGGAGTAGCGACGCTTATTGGACTGTACACAAGCAAGGTTGTGGATATCATTGTAAAATGTTCCTGTTGTAAAGCTTGCGAATATTGGACATCAAAAGAAATCACCGCTGAGTATGAAGAATGGAAAGCAAGCCACGAAGAACAGTGCTCGGCGAATCATGAGGGGTCTGCCGGGAAGATGGAAGTAGACGGGATAAAAGAGATGTTTCAACGATCTATGCAGCGTTATGGTGTAATGTATACCAATTATATCGGAGATGGCGACTCAAAAACGTATAAAGGTATCGTCGACGCAAAACCATATGGAGAGTCGATACAAATAAATAAGAAAGAGTGCATTTGCCACGTACAGAAGCGGATGGGTACGCGACTTCGACAATGTGTGAAAAAAAATAAAGGCATTGGTGGTAGGAATAAACTGACTGGAAGAATGATTGATAAATTAACCATATACTATGGCTTAGCAATCCGCAGAAACTGTGATTCAGTAAAAAAAATGAAAGATGCCATATGGGCTACGTTCTACCATTATAGCTCTACGAACGAACAACCACAACACGAGAAATGTCCTTAGGGCTCAGATTCTTGGTGCTCATGGCAAAAGGCAAAGGCAGATAACAAATTGGATGACTACTCGCACGATTATACAGCACTTCCTGAAGTTGTTCTGACTGCAATCAAGCCTATTTATAACGACCTCAGTGACGATAATTTGTTGGAACGATGTGTTGGTGGATTCACACAGAACAATAACGAAAGTATAAATCACGTCATCTGGAAAATTGCGCCAAAAGAAGTGCACAGCGGCCTTAAAATTGTTGAAATTGCTGCAAATATCGGTGCATGTATCTTCAATGAGGGCGTGAGAAGTATATTGCAGATAATGCAAATATTGGACGTCAAGACAGGGAGAAACGCACATTGTTGGGCTGAATCTGTAGATACGCAACGCATTCGGTTTGCCGAGCGCTCTGCGACAAGGGCGTCAAAAGAAGCAAGAACGAGGTTGACACAGCAAAAAAAAGATTTAATGGAAGCATCAACGTCTAGAGAAGATCCGTCATATGGCCCAGGAATCGATGATTTCATGTAAGTTTAAAAATAAACCAGTTATTCCATTGTAAAGTGGAAGCAAAACTTTAAACGCGTTTTACTCGAAACAGTATTTTCAAAATCGGTACCAGAAATATCTCCGCAACTACTGAACCGATCGGGATCAAATTTTTCAAAGTTATGCTTCACACAATAATCTAGTACTTAACGAGCCCTTTTTTCGATATTTTACATAGTTTTTTTTTCTTCTTATAATTACTCAACAATTTTAAGGCGAAAAACCGCCAATTTTATGCAAATGACTGCCATGACCCGAAAAAATTGAATTCGCAAATTCCGGCTCGATAAGTACTAGTTCTGTCTATCTACTTTGAGAAAATAATTTTTTTTTTTTTTTCAGATAAGAAATGGCGGAGGCACGTCTGGTACCGCGAACGCTCTCGAAAAAAACACACCCCGGAAAACGACTGCAATTTTTTTACCATTCAAAATTTTCGAACCCAATTTTCACACAATTTATAATAAATGCCATACTTCAAAATGTTTATTATGGTTTTTTAAAAAAAATGCAGTTTTATACACGAAAAAAAATCTTAAACATGACCCTACTTCTAGGTGCTCAGCTATATGTGAGCCCTTAAGCGAATTGATTAAATGAGGTCATACGCCCTAAAAACCCAAAACCGACTATAATGGCTCTTACGACCTTCTGATATGAGGCCCTCGATATGGTTAACCAAGGTGCTAAAGTCCCAAAACAGGCCCGTGTTATTACGAGTGAAACAATTTGTAAAAAAAATACGAAATACCTACTGTAAGATTTAATAAATCCGTGGTAATTATCATGAATTCTTCATTGGAAGCTTGCCCAAAAATAAGTTTGGCCATCTGTGGAAGCTTGTCGGTTCTAGAATAGATCCAGTCTTTTTCTTTATACACGTTCCACATTTTCAGGAAAAACTCATCGCCTATTGTAGGTTGCATTTTAACTTTGTTTTCTAGAACTATAATAAGCAAAGTAAAATTACTCTCCGGGTACTCCGTGTCTTTTAAAGCAAGATCCACGTACGAATTCAAAGATGTTAACAACTTTGACAGTTTTTCTTCTTCATTATTAAATAAAAAATGTTTGAGTGACAAACAGTAACCATCTATTAAAATAGCCATCGGTTTGTTTTGCAATACTATGTCGAGAATTTTGTCACATATGATGGATTTGTATTTTTCAACTACATTCTTGATATTCTTGGATATTTTAAGTTTCTTTATCTAAAAGATTAAAATAACTTTCACACAAAAATTTACTTTACAAATTACGTATAAACTGAGAAGGACAATTATAATTAACAAAAATAATATAATAATAGTTTGTAATTCTATAGGGTGTAACTTTAGGTGGGGGTCAGTTTTTTAGGGTTAATAGTATGTGTTCTAAACATGAATCTGAAATTATTAGAGTTATAATTAGTTTTTTTTTAAACGCACTTTAATTCTTGTGTATGAGTAAACCAGGGCACCCAGAATTTGCGAATTAATGCTCTATCAACATGCCAGTTGTTTTTAAATCAATCTACACTGTGGGAACTGACAAGGAAAATAATTTGGTAAAACGATTGCATTTGTATAACTTAGTAAGATGTTATTTTAAAGTGAACATATTTTTCTTGATATCACTGTGATCGAAGTGCTGAACATTAAAAACAAAACAGTCTATTGTTTCTAAAATAAATTGAAAAATTCTAATTGTTTTATTAAATATTAACTAATATTAGTACAGAGATATGTTACTAATTGTAAATATATATTTTTAATCAACTGATAGACAACAAAACTAATTAAAACTAATTTAGAGAAAACAGATTGATTCAATATTACGACGTGTTACTTTAAAGTCACCATATTTTTTTGATGTCAATGTGGAAGAAGTGCCGAACGCTAAAAAAACGCTGTTCTGTTGCGGCATGCCTTTGAATACAAATAAGAGAATTATAATTAGAATAAAAAATTAGGAAGCAGAAATTTTAAACACTGTAGAGAATCTTGGGTCCAGTACTCGAAAATTTAAAGTGTTATGTTACAAAAATCGTGAGTAAACAAATTGTTTATTTATTTTTGTGTATTTCATTTATCATTATTGGTTACTGCTTGAGTTTTCAGCTAGGTTACTTGTTAAATACGGTTTCATAGCTTTATCTTATTGAAAAGAATTAAACTTTAATTTTTGTGGGATGATAGGGCTCCTAGCGAACACTCACTCAGCAAAAGTAATGTGTCAAAGAGCAGTACCTCATGGTGAGTGCTGCAGAAATTTGCCTTTTAATAACCTTTCCTTTAAATATAAGATTTGACAACAATGCACAGCCCAGTTCCCAATTGTGCATACTCTGTGACTAAAGTACGCCGTAGTTTGAAGTTACACTAGCTTGTCCTGTGTAAGAAAATTAGGAAAAAAAAAGATAAAAAACCTAAGTTTTCATGACAGAATTTAAAAAAATAATACTTTATTTTGTATATGTTTCTAAAGGTGAAAGGAAGCCTCCGTAAAAATATGACCCCCACTCAAAGTTACACCCTGTATATTAAGGACTGTGTATAAAATAGGGTCAAATCAAATGGATCAAATTAAATAAATTTAGATCAAGTTACTTTAATACAATTTTGCTTTCTTAAAGAGTTGCAAAAATATATTTTTTTTATTCCTTTTTTTACAACAGTGTTTACAATTAAAACTAGCTTACATTTAGTCAAATGTCAGCGTCTAATGAATAAAGGCAAAATGTTCTAGTGTGTCCTGAAATTCATTCAACAAAATTAGGTCACAGATTCTTAAGACAAATTTAGGGGACCCGTATTTTTTATTTTTGCCAAGTGGCCCCCTCTTTCGCAGTAACAGCCCCCTGAAGTCTGCCCCTAAGAATAATCTTTTTTTTATATCTCAGAACCTTGTTCTACGAGAATCACTAAATTTGGTACACATGTGGAATCTGACGGTGTTAATTTTTCGTGGGCCGCCTTGTCTTTGGAACCAAAAAAATTTGATCACATATTTAAATTTCTTTAAAATTATCAGTCCACTAGAAAGCCATTAAATTTAGAAACTTTTTGTCTCTTTATACTTTTTTCGTAAAACGCAATGTTTTCGAGAAAAATGTCAAAATGTGATCGAATTCATATTGTGATTCGCCATTTTCCTCAAAAACATTGCGTTTTACGAAACAAACATCAAGAGACAAAAAAGTTTCTAAATTCAATGGCTTTCTAGCTAACAATTTTAAAAAAAATCAAATTTGCAACCAAATTTTTCTGGCTACAAAGACAAGGGGGCCCACGAAATGGTGTCTTAAGGGGGTTTCTCGCCAAAAAGCGTAGCACTGTGAGATTCCACATGTCATAAAACCCCATGTACCAAATTTAGTGATTCTCGTACAACAGGGTTTTGAGATATAAAAAATACTTCTTAGGGGCAGATTTCAGGGGGCCGTAACTCCGAAAGAGGGGGCCCAGTTGGCAAAAAGAAAAAATACGGGTCCTCTAAATTTGTCTTAAGAATCTATTTTGTTGCATGAATTTCGGGACACCCTGTATATTGTAAAAACTGTAAAACAAAGACACAGATTTAGGAAACGAATGAAGTTTATTAGACTCAAATATCTAAAAATAGAAAATTGATCCTTTCGGAACAATCCATTTTAGTAACATGCAGCAACTATATATTTTTATCCTAAGTAATGTCACATAAAACACCTGCGCAAAAAATAGCAGGGCCGTCTTTTAAAAAATGGAATAAACAAATTTTCTGTGACTTTTTAAGAAAACAAAATTGTATTGAGGCAACTTGAAAGCTAAATTGGTTCAATTTCATTCAAGAAAATTGGATCGCAAATGATTATAACCCAATCACATGACCATATATGTATATGTGAATGTTAAATATTAATTTAAAAAAAACAATTTTTTGTTATACTTAATTAAAAAATTTAAATTAAATAAAAATGTATTAAAAAGATTGGCAGTTTTAAAGTTAGGAAAAAACAAATTAAAGGGAAAATCTTTGTCTTACCTTATTTGCTATATTCACCATTATGATACAGCAACGCATATATACTGGTGTCAATAGCTTTTCCGTAAAATTTGAAATTATAGGTTCATATATACTAACGGAATATTCATCTTTAAATACATTTTCTGTAATAATATAAAAAATACATTCCCACTGACCATAATTTTGTACAATATCATTGCACAAGTCCTCGATTGTAAACAAATTTTCGATTTTAAATTTGCCGTGTTGAAGGATACCTAAAATGTAAGTTAAAACCTTTGTTTTTGAATAAAACATATTTACCTATAATGAGTTTCTCACAAGCTATTTGTAATTTTTTATAATTTCCTCTTTTAAATTCAGAGGATAAATCCATATGTAAGGCACAAAAATATACCAGACAAAGTTTCTGTACAGTTTCGGAACAAAATATTACAGGAAACTTTTCCAAAATTTCAAAAAATTGAAGTACTTTCTCTTCATTAATATTCCATTCCACTTCATAGTTCTGATTTAAACTATATAAAGATTTAACAGATTCGATAATTTCCTTGGGTTCCTGTGTTAAAAAATTATCTTCAGTAAACACCGAAGATATTCTAATACTAACGGCTTTCTTAAAACTATCGCTAGTCACTTTATCTTTTCGTCTCGTTAACAATTTATTTATTTTGGTAATAATGACATAATTCACTGCTGTTATCAGAAACGAAGAACTCGTAATATGTGGCTTATTGCGAATAGCTCCGAGTGTGTCTGTATCACAAACCACTTTCTCTGCTATAAACAGAGCATAAGATGGCTCCATTTTAGATAACAAATTGTTTATAACAAATTTATCTTCCAAAATATTTTTCCACATAATATCAATATTTCCAGTTATACTCTTTATAACATTTTGAACTATGTCTTCATTAACCGATTTTTCAGATAGCAGCATCGCTCGTAACTTCTGAATATATAACTTTTCCTACAAATATAAGTGAAATTAATAGATACATTATTTTTAGAAAACGATTTCTCTTACCAATAACTGTTTACAGGCAATTTCGCCGAAATTTGTAATTCTCTCTGATATTAAACACCACTGCTTCACCGTCAAGTAAGAATGTAAATATGTTATGTTGCATGCAGCAAAATTATTATCAATTGATTTGTTTAGCTCAACTTCATTATTGATCGAATAATATTCCAGAGACATGTAAACCTCAGCCCAATTATAAGAAATGTTTAGGAACGATCTCATAAGTTTCTGATTCTAAAAACAATACTGAAATTAAATATTAACTGTTGGCAACATTTTTTTTTGGCAACGGAAGATTTTTAATAAATTAATATTACACTAAAATAAAATTATTAAATATTAATTTTAGATTTTAATTTTAAAGAAAACTGTAATGATGTATATACCAGGGTGGATCTGTCGAAATATCCCACTTCTTGGATGTAAGAGAGGGCAAGCAAATTTTTGCTGGAATACTTTCAGTACAACTCACATAATAAAAGTGTAGGGATCTACAATCTGGACGAGGTCCGGAACATTTTCAAAATTGCAAAAATGTTTAAAAAATTTAAAAAGTACCTATTTTATCTGAGTTTTTTACTTATATCTTGGAACCTATGCATTTTGGAAGAATATTGAAGAGGAAAAAAGTTTTAGAATTGAATTTTGCACAATATACTGTAAGTTAAAAATGTTTATTACCGATGTTGCAAAATAGTACTAATTGATGAAAAAATGGTAAAATAATAGTCTTTTGGATATTTTTTTTTAAATATTTTAATTGCTCTGAAGGCATTCTAATTTTAGTAATAAAAAAAACTTAGATTATAACAAACAACACAACAAATTTCATTAAAAATCGGTTCCATAGTTTTCGCAAAATAATTTTAAAAAATTTTTTTCAAATTTTCAGTGTTGCACAGCCTCAAATAAAGCATCTAGACACTTGAAAATTTTTTCACATAGAAAAAACCGCTCAACCTTTCAAATGGTTTTTGAAAAATTGACATCGGTTGATTAGGACGGCCACAGTAAATTTTAAGTTAACACTCTTTTTTTTATTTTTAAACAATTAGATTACATCTACCAATTTGCAATTTAGGTTTTTTCAAAACTTATAATTTTAAAGTAATCGGAAAGACGCTTCTTTAAAAAAAAGTTAAATTCTATTTACTCATATTGGTTCTCAAGATATAAGCGATCAAGTTTATCGGCATTTACCGTTAATTTATAAACAACTTAGCAATAATCTTTGATCCAGTGGCATCATTTTTCCGAGTTCTAAGCTAGAAAAATTTTCATATCCATGTTATCTGCAACATAGATAAATCATCGGAAAAGTTGTCGCTCACATGCGTGAAAAGTCACTTAAAACACGAAAAGTGGGGGAGGGGGGCTTTCGCTCCGAGACTGAATTGGGAGGTTCAAAATGCGAAGATACGAAAAAAATTGCATTATCTCGGCTACTAATGGACCAATTTCAATCTTTTTTTTTTAATCCGATGTCTCGCGAGCCAAGGAATTCGAATATCGTAATGCCAACTCTCTAATTTGGACATATTTTGTTATAAACAAAGTTTATTATTTATGCATTAAATATATTGTATATTTTACCCTATGCTATTGCATTATTTAAATGAAAAAAATTTGTTTATGTATTATTTACTTATAATTATTACAATTATTTAAATATATTTTTTTTAATTGGAAATACATTTTTTTGTTAAATACAGATAAAATTTAAGAAAAAATAGTACTTTAAAATTATAATTTTTGAAAAAAACTAACTTGCGAATTGATAAATGTAATCTAATTGTTTAAAAATAAAGTGTTAACTTTAAAAATTTACTGTGGCCGTCAACTGATTTCAATTATTCAAAAACCATTTGAAAGGTTGTGCGGTCTTTTCTATGTGAAAAAATTTTCAAGTATCTAGATGCTTTATTTGAGGCTATGCAACATTCTGAAAATTCGAAAAATTTTTTTCAAAAACTTATTTTGCGAAAACTATCACACCGATTTTAATGAAAGTTGGTGTGTTGTCTTATTATACTCTAAAGGTTTTTTTAACAGAATTAGAATGCCCCCAGAGCAATTAAAATATTTTAAAAATATTATCCAAAAACATGATTATTTTGCCTTTTTTCATCAATTATTGCTATTTTGCAAAATCGGTAATAAATTTAAACATTTTTAACTTACAGCATATTGTACAAAATTCAATTCTAAAACTTTTTGCCCTCTTCAATATTCTTCCAAAATGCATAGGTTCCAAGATATAAGTAAAAAACTCAGATAAAATATGTATTTTTTAAAAATTTTTAAACATTTTTGCAATTTTGAAAATGTTCCAGACTTCGCCCAGATCTAGGGATCTACACTTTTATTATGTGAGTTGTACTGAAGGTAATAAAGAAAAAATTTGTCCCCTCTCACATCCACCTCAAAACAGATCCGCCCTGGTCTAGTAGAGCTATAGTTGTTGTTGCCCTACACATCTGTAAAGTGCTAATCGGTCTAAGATTTGCTCAAATATATATTTTTTAGATCAGTACTCACATGCTCTCTATTTAACAAAATCATTCCAAATTGTTGTAAAATATTTCTCAATTCTTCTAATTCCTTTAGTAACTTTTCAATCACAGTAGTACCAACACTATGTTCTGTTATTCGAATACTACATAGAAAAGTACTTATTAGGACACTCATAATTTCCATGAAGTTTTCCATATGATCTGAAATTCACATTAATTATAAACTTACGAAGGCTTAAAACCACTATTATAATGTGTGCCATACTGAAAAAGGAGATAATATATCTGAGACAAAGGCTTCTACAAATTTTAAAGTTTAATAAACAGATGGAATGTTTAGAAAGATGTAATTATAAACAGTCGATTAACCATTTTAAAATTACACAAATTTATCTTCATATCTTTAATAACTTTTGAGATGCCCTGTACTTTTGTTGAAAATGGGATAGAGGTACGAGGCATATCCACAAAGAGTACTCAATTTTTTAAAAATCAGAACAGCACTATATTTATGAAAAATTTACATATTTAGAAGAGATCAAACAATATTTTTCAACGTCAATGCACTTTGTAAGCAGAAGGATGAGCTTTCTGATAACCTCATCAAAAAATCTCCCACCGCCTCTCAGGCACTCTGAACCTCAGCCTCAGTAGACAACCTTATACACCGTCAGAGAAAAGAATCAGAAGGTGCCAGGTCAAGGCTAATGCTATGAGCGGGACGGTTGATGATCTTCCAACCAAATAAATCCAACAGTTGCTGTGTGGAGACGGGCATTGCCATGCAACAAGCACACTCTCTTCATTAACATTTCCCTTCTTTTGTTCTGTAGCGCTCTCCATAGTGTTTTCAAGGTTTCACAGTACCATACAACTTTTTTCCCCTTGGGTCAAAAAGTCAATTAGGAGAATCCCTTTACGGTCCCAGAATATAGTTGTCATGATTTTTTGGGCTGAAACAACGGTTTTGGATACGATTCATCACACCAGCCACATAAAGTTTTGATTTCTGAAAAGGCACCTGTCCCTTTGCAAGAATAAACCGGACTACTCTTCTCACCTCACAGCCGGCAAGATTCGGAATAGCCGTACTCATTTCAAGACGCCACTACAACAACAGTTCTCAACTGACTGAGACAAATGAGCGTCCGTTTTGCTCCCAACACCTTGGCCTTGCAGTGTTGCCAACTTTGTCGAAAACAAAAACCAGATAGCATCAGTCTCGGTATTCTTACTTTATGGATATGCCTCGTATATGTGCCATTTTTTTTATTAACAGTTACAACAAAAATATTACCTAGAATTTCTATTAACTTACCATTTTTATCAATATCATTCAAAATCTGATGTAACTGGTGCAATAAAGTTTTAAAAACATTAATAATTTGCCAACTTGCCAAATTGCAAATACATCTACTAAATTGCTGTAAAATTTTCTCTGTGAAAATATGATCGGTTTTGATATTTTCTCCTTCCATGATAACTTCTTCACTATCTATTTCTCCATTAAATTTGTATACCTCTTCTAGGATTTTCCTTTGTCCGTTAAAATAGTTATTTAATGTATGAACCATTTTGGAAATAAAATGTTCAATTCGACGCAATTTTGAATAAATATCAAAAATATTTATATTAAATATTTCATAGTATTCGCTATGTTTATGTTTATCCGAAATCATTGTATAAATAATAATGTCATCAGTTATAGGTTCAATCGACAAAGGATCAATAGCAATAGACTTCAGAAAAATCTTGTAAGAAGTAGTCGATGGTGTATTAAAGTAAAGAAGCTGTTTCAATATATTTCTAATAAATTCAGTAAAAGTGACATCGTTTATTTTGATATTTAAATCATTCTTGTTTTCACTTAAAACTTCTAGTAAAACTAAGATAATTTCCTGTGATTTAATTAGAGACAGTTCTGATTTGGGTAAATCTAATTTGGTAGTCTTCGCTAAAATTAATTTGTCTTTTAGATTAAATCCAGTAATATGTACTAACAAAATTAAAAATTTATAAATAAGTTCAAAATCTTGATAGTATGCAGCACAAAATGCATGAAATATGATTTTATAAATCAACATTGCGTCTTGGTTTGTTTTGTAAGTATTCAGCATGTACTTTATTAAATACTTTGGAATTATCTTTTTCTCCAATTTTAGATCTTCAAAAAAATGATCAATAAAGATTTTGAAGGTCTTGTGGTTTCTATAAAATAAACACTGAAACAATAAATATATTAAATACAATATACTCTGTGACAAACTTATTTATATTACCTTTTGAACATATTTTGAAATATAATCAAATACTTCAACACATTCAAATTTCTTCAGACACTCAATGAAACTGGGTAATACGTTAATAAGGAAGTTTTTGTGAAATTTTTCATGGGCCAATATATGCTTATCAAACAGATCTAAATTCAAAAATCCTTTTAGATATTCGATACAATCTATGTTATGTAACAATGAAGAAATGAATTTGCAATAAATATCCACATTATATTTAAAATAATGCCGAAATGTGACATTATCTATCAATAACAGTATGGAATCTAAAATAAGTCTCTTAGTTGACATTTCAACCATATCCATTAACAATAATTTTTCTTGAATTAACTAAAAATGAATGGGATTACAAACATTATTTTACTATAGACTAGTCCAGGGATTGCCAAAGCATTGATCACGAACTAGTAGTAACTCATAAATCTATTTTAAATTGCCTGGTAGCACAGATATAGAAACTTATTACAATAAACGTTAGTTTTCCGTGATGCGAGGAATACTGCCCTTAGGGTATACTCTTCTATCACTTCTGTCAGTATATTCAAAATAGAAAGAATTTTTGAAAAAATATTCATTTTATTACACACTATTAGTTTGATACTTATATAGTGTTTTTATTATACTGCACATTCTTCTTGCTGAATGCTTTAAAATAGTAAATATGAAATGTTATCATTAAAATAATACTTTTTCAATGTACAAATTATTTTATATTTAAGTTTACCGCGAGAGAAGGTTAAGATATATTTACATTCTAGTACGTTTACAATTTGGTCATTTATGAATATTTCTTCAGGAAATAAGAGGTAAATAAATATTGTGTGATCAAGAAAAATATAAATTAATTTTATATATCACGGTTTTCTAGGTGTATTTGCTGAACCATTTACGATGATCCAGTTGGCAATCCATGCCTTTTTTTTTTAGAAATATTTGCATTATCAATTGATAAAATTTGAGATATAGAGGTTTAAATGGTGTTGATTACGGCCACATTTTTGAAAAGTGAAAAATCGCTTCTTTAAAAAAAACATAATAAACCATAAAATAATTGATTTCCTACTGGGCCCTCCTAATTTGTTCAGCAAGTACAACAAATCTACAATATACATATACATATATTTAACAGTTCTGGTTCTTAATGAGCCACATTGTATGTATCTTATTAAATAGGGCATCTCGAATTGCACAGGCCAAACCTTAGCAGTTAATACAAATCTTCAATGTAAGGAAAGTAAGAGTTAGGTTCAAAAATGATGTTTTTGTGATACAGTATGTTACAATTTCTGAAAATGGTCTTTTAAATATATTCAAAACGCTTAGATAATAAAATTTGCGTAAGTATTTAACTGTTCTCCTTTACAAGATTTTATAACCACAATGATTCATTGGGTGTTATTAAATTAACATTTACAAACCTCTATGATATTTATAAAATCTTCTCTATTAATGTCATTTTTATTTAGTTTGTTGAATTGAGTAGACCTGAGCCAATTATTTATACATTTCCAACATTCTTTGTAATCCTCATTTGAATGTTTAATTATCCACTTCAGTAAAAATACTTCTTTATATCCCACTGCCAGCTCTGGACATTTGTAGGCATTATCGGCTATTATTATTTTTTTGTCAAAAGACTCTCCAGTATCTTCTAAAAAAGTTTGTAATTCTGAAAAGGAAAAAGAGCTTATATTAAATTATTCAAATGTAACAATTAAAACACGCTTACCTTTTGAGATCATCTTAATGCTTTTTACAATGTTACATTTATTATGTATAACTTTAAAGTTCAACGTGTTTATTAAATTATGTTAAATATATGACCAGAAATTATATGTATATGCCCAGCAAATATGTAAATCTTAAAACAGTTAATTGTATGTCACTATTTATATTAGTTAAGACCAGTCTGTTGGACAGTGAATACCATTTACAAAATATGAGTTTATTAGTTTGATAGTTTGGATATGTGGTTTGGTTTTGGTTATTATTAGTTATTACCGGCTTAAAAAAACACATGGTACATGGCAGTCATGGCACCCTAGACCCTTGATCATGGAACAAAATATATAATAGTCATGAATTATTATTTTGTTACTAGTTTGTGCACAAACTAAAAAATTAAGCAAAGTAAGAAATAAGAATTTCGTTTTTAATGTAATCGGCACGCTATTCTTATTTTTCACTTTATAAAAATTACACTGTCACTATCGTGGAATTACAAAATAAAAACTTTTGTCTGGAATCTTTCACCTTTTAACACTGATGGATCGATGGACGATACTTAATATTTAATAATTAAGTGAATAATGAATTCAATACAAAAACAAAATCAGTTGATTGCACAATTTTGACAATGTAACCTAACCTTCTTTTAGTATTACTAGTATTAGATTATACCGATTAAATTATAAGATTGTATCTGGGGTCGCATAAAAACATTTCCAAAGTTTTTAATAAATAACACAGGGTTGGCCTTCATTTTCGTTGAATAAATGAAGTTTAATTTACAAAGATAGAACTTTTTCGTATAAGACTATTACAAATATCATCAGGAAGCTGTAGTTTAATTTCTATAGATTATATATGCCACACCCTGTACTTAAATATCTGTTTTTAGAGACAATAATTCAACTAAGGTGTTTTTATTTTGTCATAGCAACCTTTCATTATTATTACACAGAGTCCGGATTTTCAAATGAAGCATAAAATCGTTTGTAGAGCCTGTTGAAATAGCATCTGGATGTAAACATCTGAAAGCGTCTTGAATCAGATATTACAATAATAGGATGATATTCTATTCTGGATTACCTATAAACGAATAAAGACATCATACAAATCCGATCGTAACATAATATTCTCTTAGGGCAAATATTATGATACTTTTTTCAATATACATATATTTCATCTCTTTCATCTATTAAATAGATTACATATATCAATATTTTTAAAATTATACATGCCCACATTAATGAAGAATAGGAGAGATAGAGAGATTTTTAATAAATAATAACACAGCCCCACAGCAAAATAATTCAATGTATGATAGACCACACTCATACACCCACTTTGGGATCGCTGAATCCGAATCCGATGTCCGTTGGACGGAGTTAGCTCATCTTCAAGGTTATTCGAAGGTCAACTCTTGTTTTTCGGATGGCAATATAATTTTTGCCTTCAAATTCTCAAAGAGGGAGAAATTTTACGGTCGAAGACAAGATTGAGCTATTTTTTGCATTCTCAAGGTTATATGACGGTCAAATCCTCCTCTTGAATTTCTCAGGTTGGTATCTCGTCAGGACAGCGAAATATCGGGAAAATTATCTCTACAAAAGTTGTTTGGGTCATTGGGGTCGCCATCTGGTGAACATGAACTAACTTTTTTAAATGGACACCGGATTCGGATTCAGCTACCCCAAAAATGTAATGGTATAGTGTATAGTCGAGACTATCACTAATTCTATTTTTTTTACCGTGGGTCTTTGTAATTTACTTTTTTAACGTAATTTCTAATATCAGAAGAAAGATAACGTTATTTAAGTTAATAAACTATTGCAAAAAATTATTTTTGTTGCTAAACGTATCTAGTTTTTTAAATTCTGCTTCATCTTAAATTTGTACGCGCCTTCCGAAGAGATATTGAGTGATTAACCTGGCTTTGACAACAGAATGCGAAATAGGTGGAAATAATCCTCTTATAAAGAATCAGTATGCAAGGTCACCCTTAGCAACAGCTTTTCTGTAGTGGTATGGACTTTGTCTTCTGACTTTTAAATATTGGGTAATTATAACAAATAGTATGAAAAAGTGTCTTTAATATTTTTATGAAGGTTTAAATGATTTTCTACAGGTGATTTCCTGCATACAGGCGGTTTCAGTTTGGGCGAAACAAATTTCTACAAGTAGCATTCAAAGAAATATTGAGATGTTTTCTATTAAAACCTCGAAAAAAAAATAAATAAAAAACAGCAAAAACCGCATCTCGATACATAGATTCGTTTGGGAGATACAGGGCGTTTTTCGTTTATGGCCACATTTTTGTAATGTTTTATTTTGAAAAATTCTGTAACTGTGTTTTTTCAGTTCCAAATACTGAAATCCGATTTTAATGTTTTACGTTTTATGATAGTGTTTACATTAGTTTACCGCCAAAAATTAAAAACGTTGTATAAATATACAATATTTTCCAATATACAGTATTTTCGTTGCAGTTTTTCAGTTTAGTCTCTTTACCACTAAAGATGTTTTATTAACTCCCCCCTAGTGAACAAGTCTGGGTGTACTTGTATTATATGCTAAGGACCTTTTCTTATTTCGCTGATCCCTTGCTCGATAGAGAAAATGAGACTTTACTTCATCGGAGAAACCAATACCGACAAAGGTATTTACATTTTCGTTTTGTTCACCCGGTCATAATAAAAGTTTTCAATTGGAACCACCCTTCGAGTAGATCTCTTCTCGGTCTTCGATTGTATTAAACGTTTTTCACAATTAAGGGTATTCCAAATACAAAATTGCGAGACAAATAAAAACACCGAATCCGAATAAAACATGCTATTTTTCTCTCCAACCGAAATCCAACAATTAATTATTAATTTGTGTTTTGAAATTATTCCAACCAAATTTGGATAACAAAGCAACGTAGGTAAGTAGGATATATCAATGTAATCGTGGGCACTTTGTCAATTAGTCGCCATATTGCTAATTGAGTTCATTTGTAATTGTTTGTTGTTCAATTTGCTGTAAAAATGGAATCTAACGAAGATTTAGGTGTACCTGAGTGTGCGAAAGAGGTTTCTATGAATCTTCTCCCAAGAAATCTCGAGAAATTTATTAATGTGTCTACCAACGTTTTATGGATTGGTGAAAGAAAAAACATTAAGTTGTATTCAGAAGATGTATTGATTGTGTATTTCTCAAACTTAGCAGATAAAATGAAGCCGTCAACGCTTTGGTCACGGAAGATTGAGATCGAGCACTGTGGCGGAAGACTACATTGAAGACTCACTTCCGAATAAAGAAAATATTGCGAAAAGAATACTGAAAGTTGATAGTGGTAATGATAAACCAAGCACCGTTGTCATTTCTGATTTCACGACATCTGAAAATAATATAATTGTTAATGAAAACGTGTTGGATTGCTCCAAGAATGAGGGTAGTGGCAGTTCCAGTGGTTTATTTAATTTTAATACTTGTTCAAACTGTGTAAATATTCTTCAATAAACTTTTATAATTCAAAACTTGATTTTACACTTTTTTTCTAAGGATTAAAAGTGTCAACTTTAGCTAACCTAGGATTAAAAGTGAATAACACTTGCCGTTAGAGGATGGTTAAATTTAAATTACCCGAATCGCTGGATTGGTCGTAGTCGTGATGCCCCTATTTGTTGGCCTGCACTGACCTGACCTAACGCCTATGGATTTCTTTTTGTGGGGACACATAAAAAGTATTGTTTATGCCACTCCTGACACCCTGTATACATAATAGCACTGGACTCTCATTTTTTTCATTATTGTTAAGCTTTTTTTTCATATTAAACACTTGTCAAGGCGTACCTTTTAATTCTCCAAAGGAATTTATTTTGAGACTATTTATAATTCCTCCGGCAAACAGTGTTATCGTCAAACTCACCCCATGCTGATATTTTTAGAAGCCGTTCTTTATTGCATACGGGTCTAAATATATCTCCGAATGCTTTCGGATCCACACACAATGTTGCAAAAGTGACGAACAAATCCGATGTCTTCGTGAAAAGTATTTGCTAGAAATGTCTTTTGTGGTTTTTAAATGTTGTCTTCGCTTTGGAACTTGCATTTATCAAAAGATTGAATTTATTTTAACTAAACCACAAATGATGATATACGTGAAGTACAGTTTAATTCTTCTTACAAATTTGTGAAAACGCGAACCCATTGTTAAAGAAAACAAAAGAAATGCTGCGGCCGCTGTGTTTATAAAAAAAAAAAATTGTTAAAGCTGTCGCCTTCCTTGGAAGGATAATTGGGAATAATTCCAGCTCCAACTTTAATCAACGAGGAATTAACAAACTGGCGATAATTACGCTAATTCCATCAAAGTATTCAGGCCTAATAATAAATGGCCAAATCTCGACGCAATCCGTCATTTGTTTTATCTTGATATCTCCGCTCCCCCAAGGGCATCTCGGAGAAGTTCAAATTCATAAGGGATGCCAGAAATAGGCGCCCAACTTTTCATATTGCCGATTGATGTTGTGCCGTTAATGTTATGCTCAGTATATAGTGTATTATAGTTGTAAAACATTTAATAATCTTACGAGTTGAAAAACTTTTTCGTTCAAATGGAATGACCCATTTTAATTGTCATGGGTGAATGCAAAATTGAATGCCATTTCGACTAATATAAGGTTCTCCATCTTTAACAGTTTTCCAGAAAAATCAAGTTCTTTTCTAAAGTGCGAAAAAGTAGCTATGTAACAGCATCAAGAAGGCCTTGCAAAACTACTTTTCTCTCACATTTTATCAAGCCTGGGACTGACAGTGTCAATATTTACTGGCATATTTAAAAAGTGGTTTGACAAACAAAAGTCAACCACTAACAACAACTAAAACAAAACGCAAAACGAAACAAACTGAAACTCGGAACACACACAAGGAGAAGAATACTTAGACCGCTCATTTACATCAATTGCTCGAAGTGTCCTCCATTTTGATTAATACACAAACGAATTCGGTTTTTAAAAGACTGTTTAACATTGATCAGCATGTCTGGCGTGATTTCTTGAAATGCTACTGTAATGTGCTGCCACATCTACCGCGGTAGTTGATGGTGTCATATTGGTGGCAATTATAACCATTAACGAAACCATTTTTATGAAAAGTAGCCACATCGCAGAAGTTCTTAAAATTGATGCTGTTTGATTTATTTATCATAATATAACAAACAGATATCATAATGTTGCCATAGTATTAAACCATTGTATTTTTACGGATGATATTAAAAACACAAATGAAATATAAAAAAGTACGATCTTGACAAAGCGTCCATAAGGAAAA